AGTTTTCCTGAAACTGATTACCTGAATTGTAGTGTCTTAGAAGATTTGGCTACAGGGATAGTAGATGCATTGATTGTAATATTCCAAAACTCCCTAGCTTCTGGAAAGGTCCCAGTGGATTAGAAAACTGTGGCTGCAACATTCAATCATGTTCTTTGTGAACAATTCAGAGAGTGATCCATATATCTTTTGTATCATTTTGAACTTGCTTCTTATTTTCTAATCTGTGTCTACATGTGTTGTGTTACTAATTTTTCTCGCAGTTAGAAAATAATAAGCATACTCTTTGTTAACTCAAAAGCCTGGTTAAATTCTCTTCATCAAAATATAATTTCGTTTGGGTCTGGGAGAAAGAAAAGAAAGAGATAAGGGAAAGGATCAATTTTTAATTTTTTTTTATTGTGACCTTCTGAGCAAGTGGTTGAATAAAGAAGAGGAGCCAGTTCATCCCTCTTTGCCTTGGGTCTTTGCCTTGGGGCGTAATGAATTAGGGTAACATATCTGGAACCAAAAGAAATTGGGGAATCTCACGCAGGTTATGAGCATAACAAGTATCCCCTCTCAACAACTGCATTGCTTGTTCCGTCCTCCACTTGAATGTACCACCGTGCCATGGTCAGTTGATCATCCACCCTGTAGCCCTGCTCTCATCCAAACAAGCTGAGAGAACCTCTCACCTATTAGATAGCTGCAGAAGCTGAGCATCCTGCCCTTTGGGTCTCCTTACCTGTGTCACTTGAAGTCACGTTTTACTGTCCCTGACCACTGACCAAACCAAATGATCCTACAGTAAATGGTGTGACTGTCTCCTGGTACAAAACATCCAGCTGACTTTTCCATTCTAGACTAGGAGCTCCTCCATACCACAGCCTAGACACAACACCTGCCCTGTCATTCTTAATGAGTAATTACTTACTTATATCATTCACTTGTTTGTTTGATTTTGATGCTTTACTAACTTGACAAAAAACTTGTGAACCATTTTAGATCTTAAGAATAGAACTGACCGCAACTAATTATTCTTCAGAGCACATGTAATGGCTTATCATGGTCCACTACATCCTGCACAATCTTGTCATATGTAGGCAAGGTTTAGCCAACATATATAATGCAAATAGCAGAATTGAATAAACGGTGATCAGCTTGTCTGATTTCAGTACCAATGAATACAGCCCCATTTTTCGAATAAATATCCTTAATTTCCCTGTGCAGTGCGTCTTTCCAACATCATTTTTACCACAACTGTGAACTGAAAACCACAGCAAAATATTGATTATAAGTAGATTTCTAATCTTGTCAAATGATTCAATGTTCCATGCAATGGACCCTGCTGCAGCACTCCTAGGTAGTGCTAACCCAGTGGCTGCAGCACGGCAATAGGTGAAATTGCAGATGGCCTTACAAAGTGACCATGCAAAACTCTAGTAAACCATGCTTTGGGCTGCACCTTCTTGTCATAGGCAGCAGAGTGGCTGAATGCCTGGTGGGCAGTGGCAGTGGAAGTGGAAGTGGAAGATCAATTCTGTCAACTTACAACAGGTCCAGGCTCCATGGCTGCAGTATTAACTGTCTTTGCACTGTGAATTATTGCTGTATAATATCTTGAAAGCACATTTTGTGTACCTGAAGTGTCATAGGCAGCTGTAAGAGCTTCCATGCCCGAAAACTGACACTGTCTCAGCCCTAATCTCAGTCTACTGGAGCATTCTTGGGCATTGTACAGCTTCTTGTTCTGCAATGCAGGCTGAGGCATTGACTATTGAATGGTGCATCGTGGGTTTGATTCTTTCGTCTTTTCATACAGTTGACCACTATTCAACATTTGATTGGTTGACCCCCAAGCTCTGTATAATGCTTTGTGTGTGGTGGTGCGTGCACACACACCTTCTGGCAGATCTGCCAATGTAGGTAAATATTTAATTGCAAATTCCCACCAGCGTATGTCGCCCATTGAAATCCTCATCTGAATTCTCTGCAACAGAACTGATTTGCAACACCACCTCTGATGTGCTGATACATTTGTTCCCCTATCTGTCAACTACCCGTGATTGATGTCTCTCACAAGTGGTCAGTATAAGAGAATGCATCATTACAATCAACCACAACATCTCAAACTGCTTAATTCATTAGCACCCTTCGCTTGACTACCGTCAATCTCTATCAACCACGGCTTGTCTTACATTAATTGCTTCACCACGCATCTGTAACTAGTGTCCCTGTCCCAACCTCTATGCTATCCTCTAAGATAGGCAGACTGTCTGTATCTGATCTGGCTACATGTATGAGATTATGTGACAATGTTTTATCACTTTCTTCTTCTACTTGTATGTCTTGTTCTTGCAGTACTGCCTGCCTAGACTACAGTTCTTGGATATATGAAATGAGAAATGCACCATTTTACGGCTGCAGTCTGTTGAGGACAGAGATCTTCAGCTTGTAAATTAAAAGAGATTGTGGGACAAGGGACAAGAGGCATATGGGAAAGGTTACGTATGAGCATATTTTCGTTATTGATCTTTTCAGTCCTGCTATCAGCCATAGCATCCAACTTGGCCACATCAAAGTGTTCAACTGCTGTCTCCTTCACTAGGTTGAGTGCCTTCCCAGACAGTTGCTGCTACTTGTTGTTGAATGATTGGTAATGTGTACAAATTGACAGACGTGTGAAGAGGTGAAACAATGTTAGCTATGGGTTTTGGTTGGTGGTAGGTGAAGAGAATGCTGAGTTTAGCAATTTGTGAGGCTAATGGTTCAGTTATAGATACATTCTCTTACATTGACCACTTATATGAGGTCATTAAACTTCTGGCAAGACATCCATGTCCTTGGGGCTACATTGCTGGCATTCTCCATTTAGGTATCTATCTGAAGGGCCTCTTGGGCCTCTGTTGGAAAAATAACTCTTTCCTCTCGCATGAATACCTCTAGTGCTGTGCTGGAGAATTTTAGTTCTTGAGACTTTCCCAGCTGAAACTCGCTGCTCAAATGATGTACATGAATGAGCCAGTCATAACACACCTCCTCGTTAAGAGGTGCTGACTTGCTTAAATTTGTGCTAGCATCATAAGACTTTCTGCCTCCTGTTTATTTGATGTGAAGGTGCTGGTGTTGGCCTGGGATGGACAAAGTCAGAAATCACACGACACCAGGTTATAGTCCAACAGGTTTATTTGAAAACGTAAGCTTTCGGAGGTTGTGTTTTCAAATAAACCCATTGGACCATAACCTAGTGTTGTGTGATTTCTGACTTTGTCCTGTTTGTGTACACCCAATTGACATCATGCTTATAGTCACACAGATCTGCACAAAACTTCCATGCTACCTGCATCATAATTAATGAGTGTGGGTTGCACTATCTTAGTGCATTCCAGTTCATAATAACTAAGTGACTTAAAAATTCCCTTCTTTCATTTGACTTTACCTTAACCCAAGTCTTCTAGTTATCAATCCACCTTGCAGTGGAAATGTTTTCTTCCCATCAACCTTCCTAAGCCTTGGTATCACACTGGTTACTCTTCAGTTCCCAGCAAATTTGAATTCATTTTGTATTCTAAATGCGTCATGTTTGAAGACTTTTCACTACTGATGTGCATCACACCCCATCCATGTTTGCTCCCAAATCCTGCTATTCTGACAACTTCTCTGAAGAGTACTTGCTTTTCACCCTTCAGCTTGCTTTTTGTCCATTCCCAAGGTTTCAGTCAATTCTCACAGTTCTGCATTCATCTAATAGTATTTCTTGTGGAACTTTCCAATCCTTCAATCCTGCACCAGTGTAAGCTATTTTAATTATAAATGACAACATATTTAATTATTTAACAACTTTTTTCCAAGTTAAATTAAAACAAAAACTGTCTTAAATTATGCTTCTTTAACAGTTGTTAACAAATTATGCTTTTAACTTACAAACACCTAATATCAAATTTAGCATTTAGTTGTACAGAACATTTGTATTGTTGGAAAAAAAAATGCATCTTGTCAAAGCTTTTCATCAGGTCAATTTGCAAGAATTACCAAATGATTCATTGACAAGTGAACTCTGCCAAGTTTGAAAAATATTGATAAATACTTAAAAAAGAAATATTTTTAGGGCTAGGTAGAAAGAGTGGTAGAGTGGGACTAGCTGGCAAAGAAAGAATGTGGATTCCATGCTGGGAGAGAAGAACGTATATGTCAGTTTAGAAAAATTAGCCCAATGTGATATTCAGTAGAGATCACTGGCTACCCACATGTGGCTACAATGACAATAAATTTCAGTCAAAAACACCTTTTTATTTACATATGTGCATCACTCTTCTGTTTTTTTAAGCAAATGTCCACTGTACTTCAGTAACCAAGGAGGTACTCAACAATGAAAGAATGCTTACACAATCTACTGTTCAAATGATTGCCTAACCAACAAATGAACCAAAAGGTTAAAGTCCAATCAGGCACACTGCTGCAGATCTTAATGTACAAGACCTTGAAAAACAGTCTGTAAATTTATTTCCAATTGTTGGCTGTTGTATACTGTTTGCCTACTTGATATTGGCTTTTATACTGAGATTGGCTTTTATACTGATATCTGGTGCTTGTAAAACTAGGTGTGGGAAGAATCCCAGAGATTGCTGGTAAGCTTAGTTAGAACAGTCAGTATGTTTGATAAGATATACTCAACTGGCACAATATAGATCTAATTTTAAGCAGTCTTGTTTAGTTTTATGCTTTGGTTGACATTCTGCGGCAAGTCCTTCATTAATAATGCCTTTGAACCATGATCCCACCTTGGCAAATTTGAGAGACAGAAGTTTGTGAAGTAATTTGCATACTGAAAACAATCCTAACCAAGGATCCCTTCATATACTGCCTTTTATTAAATTAGTTGCTATCAGTTGGGTTTTTGAAATTTAATAAACTGACAAAATGATCTTTAAAGACAGTAGTTTATCTTACATTGCACCTCTCTCAAAGGATTAAGAGCACATGACTTTGTTTTAATTGCATGTTTTTGTTTGACCTACAGGGAAAGTAAAGTGGCAAGACTTTGATCAGGAAGCTTACATTGAGGTCACTTTAGTAAAGAATGGACAGGATCCATATGCACGGAATAAGTTTAATCAGCTGGAAAGCGACAAACTGCGAATGGATAGGAATATTCCAGATACCAGGCATGATCAGTAAGTGGAAAAGTCTTAAGGCCCCCTTTTTATAGAACTGTTTAGGTCGTAAGCTTGAGTGTTACTCCAGAGAGTTAAACAAATGTCTAGGGTGACACTGCAATAAAATATTAAGGGAATGCTACATTAAGAGGTGCTATTTTTCAATTGAAGCTTTGAATTGAAGCACCATCTGCTTTCTCAGGCAGATAGAAAGAAGAGCAGGGTATTCTACCAGTGGCCCTCAATTAAGATCCTTAAAACAGAATATTTGGCCATTAGCACATTGCTGATACTAGAACCATGCTCTGTGCAGGTCAGTTGGTATAGCTCCCATGTTACAGTAATGACTGAGCTTCACAAATATTTAATTGGTGCTTTGGGATGCGTGTAATCATGAAACTGATACAATAAATATATCAACTTTTAGAGCTAGAACCTATTTCATTTCACATAATTCATGTAGCAGGCAAAATTCTCCAAAAATTCAGTCGGAAATTGCTCCTACTGTAGCAATTTAAACTTCCTCACCTCTGTCTACCCACTAAGACTTTCCTCAGTTTGTCACTAGACTTCTCTTTCTGTTTTAAGTAGTATCTTTGTTAACTAGTACTTGCACATTTACTGGCTTCTGAAGCCCGATTTAACAATTAGCTTTGTGATTTAACAATAATCTTAATAGAGAGCATACAGATTTCCCATTACATTCTAAGACTATCTGCAAAAATAGATACCACATACCAACATTCCACAATTGAAGACAAATATAGAAATATTAATATTATTATTTACAAATAAAAATGTATACGAAAGCAAAAAGATCAAGAGATCAGAGTATAATAATCAAATTTACAGAAACATTAAAACCAAATCGGGCAATACCTACAAAAAGCAGAACAAGAAGATAGCCCAGACCATAACTTTTTCTTATTTAAAGGCAAGTGTCAGACATTGCATTCCAGATGCAATTCGATGGATCAAACTACCAGTCTTGAAGTAAAACGCATTTTATTCATACATTATAGTTAAAATACAACAAGAGAAAGAAGAAATTGGAATTACTTAACTCTATTCGAAAACTTAACAGAATAGTAGATTATTTAACTACTGAACAGTAACTGTCCCAATATAGTAACATCCCATAAACATACCCTTGGCAAAGGCAAATTCAGTAAAATACATTGTCTCACATGCAATTCTCTAGCCCAGGAAGAAAATGTCAAGAGAAAACAGAGAGAAAAAGTAGCAGGGAGATATGTACTGCAGCTTCCGAACCCAGTTTCAAGACCCCAGCAACTGCTACTGAAAGCTAAAACTTAAAAAAAAATCATGGTTCTGTGGGAGCTTGACCCCAACCATTCAGGCTGTTCTATCTTTCCAACTTTTTTAAAAAAAAGGCCCCGAGGCGTCGCAAGCTGTTTACTTAATAGACAGTACATCACCTCTGTCTTAAAATTTCTCTTCAAAAAAAACCCAGGACAGGTACACCTCTTAAACCCACAATTGCTGTAGGCCTTTCCCCAGGGTCATGTCCTAGACCTGCTGTCTTCATCTGCTTCAGCACTGACTTCCCCTCTATCATAAAGCTAGAAGAGGGAATGTTAACTGATTGCACAATCTTCTGTGTCTGTAGCTTCTTAAATACAGAAGCTGACCATGCCTGCATGCAGTAAGAGCTGGACAGCATTCTGGATTGGATTCATAAGTTAAACGTAATAATTGGGCCATACAAGTGCCATATAGTTTCCAAAAAGAGAGCATCTAACCATCTCCCCTTGAGATTCGGTGATGTTACCATTGGTCAAACCCCAGCATTAACATCCTAGGGGTTACAATTTACGAGAGACTGAGATGGACCAGCCATATACATGTTGTGGCTACAATGGCGTGTTAGCCGCTGGGAATTCTTCAGTGAGTAACTTAACCCCCAGATTCCTCAAAGCCTGTCACCATTTACAAGGGACAAGTCAGGACTGTGATGGATAATGACAACATCGTGTGGAGCTGGAGGAACAAAGCAGGCCAGACAGCATCAGAGGAGCAGGAAAGTTGACGTTTCAGATTGGGACTGTTCTTCAGAAAAGGATGGATAATCTCCACTCACCTGGATGAAAGTGGCTCTAAAACATTTAAGCTCAATATCATCTAGACAAAGCAGCTCACTTGATTGACACTCCACCCAACTCCTTAAAAATTCACTCCCTCAACCGCAAATGCACCTTGGCAAAGTTATGTACCATCTAGAAGATGCAGTGTGGGAACTCAGCAAGCCTCCTTCATGAACACCTTCCAAAGTTATGACCTATACTTCCATGAAGTATAAGGGTAGCAGTTGCATGTGAACACCATCACCTTCAAGTTCCTCTTGAAGTCACTTACCATCCCAACTTGGAACTAACTTGTTGAACCTTCACTGTTGCTAGGCCAAAAACCTTTTGGTAAGCACTATGGTTGCACCTAAACCATATAGCAGCAGTCAAGAAGGCAGTTCACCAACACCTTCTTAGAGAGGAAGTAGGGTTGATAATAAATGCTGGCCTTACCGTTAGTGCTCACATCTCATAACCCAATAGTAACAAAAATAAGTCCTGGCAACATAATTTCTGGCACATCATATTTTCTCACAAAGTTCTTCTTCCTCCCTTAACAAAAGAGACTACTCAAATGCAAGACTGAAGAGCCTAAGGAACATTAGAAGATTGTATTTTCATTTGAAAATCAGTTTCTTTGAGATAGTTACTTAGTAAGAATGTTTTGTTTTTTACCAAATTTGCATTTCCCACTGCAGTTTGCCTTCTTGGCTTTACATAATTTCTAATCAACCTGTTTATAGATTTGGCACTCGAACGCTAGTCTCCTGGCTCAGAGCTAGGGACTCTACCACTGTGCCACAAGAGCCATTGCACCCTTTCCAAACCTATCTTTATATGTGATACTCAATTCCTGCATTCTTGCCATTACTTTCATTAAACTACTCATTCTGCAGTTTACCTTCATGGCACCTGTGTCAGCTGCTGTTATAAATGGTTCCCTCCGCTCAACTTCCCTGTTGCCTTTCAAATCTGCCATCATCACTCCTTTTTCTAAAATAAGCTTCCATAATGTCATTCACATGTCACCTTGCAGTGGGCTTCACATTTGATTAGAAAATGATAAGTTTGTGTGCTAAATGCATGTGTCAACATTTCATATACTGTAAGACATTATACGGGAGTAACTTTCTTCAAAGTAATTTCAGAACACAATTCCACATTCCTGATAGATTGTTGATTTTAGTGTTCCATAGTGATTTTAAGTAGTTTTCAAAACCTCTGGAATGAAGAGGGAAATTTTTATCCTATCCCATCAGTCTATCACTTGCTGATACCGTATCACACATCATTCTGGCTTTTTCATTGGCTGTCTTTCATTATTGCAGGATTAATTGATGAACCTTGTACTGTTGTAATGTTTTGGACTGAACTTTTAAAAAGCATTATTAATTCAACAATTGAACGTGGGAAGATGTATCATGTACTAAATTTGCTTTGTTTTTACTGACAGATGCAGGCGGAAGCAGTGGAACTCTGACTTAACAGCAACCAGCGTAGTTATCACCTTTCACAATGAAGCAAGATCAGCATTGCTTCGTACCATTGTCAGGTAAAAGCAGTTGCAAAAAGCTGGAATCAATTACTTTGTATTTTTAACAGAAACTCACATTCATATAACCTCCTTAAAGTAGTAAACCCACCCAAGGCTCTTCACAGCACTATTCTCAGACAAAGTTTGACGTTAAACCATGTTTCATGTTATGGAATCGTAGAGTGTTTTACCACACATTGGGATGCTATTCAGCACGTCATTTCCTGGCTGGCTGATAGCAAAAGCAATTTAGCTAGTTCCATTCATTTGCTTTTTCTATTTAACTCTGCAAATCTTTTCTCTTCAGCTAAGTATCTAATTGCCACTTCAAAGCCACAATTTAATCTGCCTGCACTATATTCTCAGTCAGTGCATCAGAAATTCTAAATACTGCATGAAAAAGAAAATCCTCTTGTTGCCTCTGGCTCTTTTGCCATTCATATTAAATCCTCTGATCCTCTAATACTCAATCCATCTGATAATGGGAAAAACTTTTCCCTCCCTAATCTGTCAACCCTTAATGATTTTGAACTCCTCTATGAAATCTACTCTCAATTTTCTCTTCTCTGATTAGAGCCCCATCTTTGTCAGTCTACCCACATAACTGAAGTCTCTCATCCTTGGAATCATCTTTGTAAATCTTCTGTGCACCCTCTTCAGTGTATTTGTAACCTCCCTAAGGTGTGGTGCCAAAATTGGACATACTCCAGTTTAGGACAAACCATAGTTTTATAAAGATTCTTGTTTTTGTAATCCATGCATTTACTTATACATTCCAGGTTTACATATGCTTTAAAAGCCACTTTCTCAATCTACCCTGCCACCTTAATTGATTAATGTATGTATACCTGCCTTCCTACTCCTCCAACCTTTCTATTCCTGCACACCCTCTGCAATTGTATAATTTACTTTATATTGCTTTTCTGTTCTTCCTACCAAAGTGTACCAGTTTACACTTTGCTCCATTAAATGTTATCTACCAAATGTACCCCATTCCACCAGCTTTCCTATGTTTTGAAATTGTGCTTTGCATATTTGAGTCCAATAAAGCCATTGTCTTAATACCGATCTCAGGGGATCATGCCATATAATGTTCTCCAGTCTGAAAAATGTCTGTGTTTTGTTTGTTTCCAGTCATTCAGCCAAATTCATTATCTATGGTTTTGTTCTTCTACATGACCATTTTTCTGAAAACTTAAGTAGCATTTATCAAACACATTTTTGAATTCCATATATACCACATCAAAAACTTCATTAAACTTTTTTCATCCCATTGAAAAACTCAATTGCATTAGTTTAGCAGAATTTGTCATTAACTAATCATTGTTGAGTTTTGTAAATTAATGCACATTTTCTAGGTGATTGTTAATTTTGTGACAGTGAGCAAAAGCTTAGGTAAGAAAAATATGTTAAGGAGTGTCTTAAGGAAGAGAATTCAGAGGCATGGTGTAAAAGTTTTAGGAAGAAAATTGATGCTTAGGGTAGAGTGGGTGAAAACAGTTACCTGGATGGCACAAGTGAAATCCAAGATGTGTTCAATTAGAAAGCTAGCGTTCAAATTAATGGCTGTTTTGGAGCAGTCGTCACCTATCAACCTCTGCAGTCAAGTTACCAAGACATCGTAAGAAGACAAAATTAGAAAAGCACGGAGACCCCAAAGGGTTATAGGACTCGAGGAGACTACAGAGATGAGGGTGAGGGCTTGGAAAGATTTAGAAACTGGGTAGAATTTTAAATGCGACATTGCTGAACCAGAAGCCAGTGTAAGCTGGTGAGCACAGGGGTGCAATGTAGCTGGTTTTAATGTGAGCCTGCATGATCTAAGCTGGGAGACTGCAGTTTAAAATACTGCAGTAATATCTGTGCCCACTCTTGGGTGACTCTAAGTCATCAAGAGCTACCAACCTTCGTCAAGTCTTTTGGGATTTAGTGGAGCATGTTCTGGTTGGTAGAGTGCGCATTCCATGTTTGTGTGATCTGATTGGCTTGATTTAGAACCATGGCCAGGGTGATGTGTCAGATACGGGGTTCTAAGTTCTTTGTGTTTTGTATGTAGGGAGCAATAGGGTGAATTAGGGAGTGGCATAGGCTTCCCCATCAGGGAAGGCAATGGCCTAGTGGTATTATTGCTGGATTGTTAATCCAGGTAATGTTCTGGGGACCTGGGTTCAAATTCCGCCACGGCAGCTGGTGGAATTTAAATTCAATAAATATCTGGAATTAAGAGTCTAATGATGACCATGAATCCATTGCCGGTTGTCAGAAAAACCCATCTGGTTCACTAATGTCCTTTAGGGAAGGAAACTGCCATCCTTACCTGGTCTGGCTACATGTGACTCCAGACCCACAGCAATGTGATTGACTCTGAACTGCCCTCTGGGCAATTAGGGATGGACAATTAATGCTGGCCTAGCCAGCGATGCCCTCATCCCATGAATGAATAGAAAAAAAATGTTGCTGATCGTGCCATGCAGCCTGAAGCAGACCAGCAAGAAATGATTTAAATCTGAATCTTGTGACTTTAAACAGGAATACAGGCCCCATTAGCTGAACAATGTTGAAAGAAACTAGCATAAAGCAGAGCAACTTTAAATAGGGATTTTGTGTAATTTGTTCTGGATCAGGTGATAAATGAACAGCACTTTACACTTTGGAGCCCGACTCACAATCCTCTTGGGGTCCTAGTTTAAAAGCCTTCAGTTCAATGTAAACATTGTTAAAGATTGAAACTTGCAAGAATCATCTTCATTCTGGCTTTTTTAATGCACCATTGGAACTTGACTGACTTTGCTTAGTTCTGGGAAAACATTCACTATTAACATAAAAATGAACTGGACTGAGTTGTAGCATAATGTGTGATTGGTTGTTGCTGCACAGTGCCGAGATCTACTTGTTCAAGTCAGATCTTTCTTTGATTACTTGGGTATCATAGAGTTGTACAAGACAGATGGATTGACTCACTGTGCTTTGCACTGTAGGTCCTTTGGAAGAGCTTTAGAGTTAGCTGCAAACAAGAATGGGAACGTTGTGGTAACCTTACAGGACTACTAATCAAAAAGTCTAATGTTGCAGGGGCATGAGTTGAAATTACACTAACAGCAATTGCGGAATTTAAATGCAATTAATTGAATAAATCTGGAATAAAAAAAACTAGGCTAAAGTTTTGCCAAGAAGATGGGAAACAAAAGCTGGATTTGTTTTGGGGTCAGAAACCAGTGGGAAACTGAATAAAATTAAGATTTTCACTAGAGAAAGCTTAATTGGGTTTTATGCCCACTTAGAACTAGTACCGTTTTGAACAGAGCTGGGTCTCATGAAGCGTGGGACTTGTTTAGAGAATCTAGAAGCCATCACTGTGACTGTTGTTTATTCGGAGAGACATTTGTTGATCATGCCAAAGCCTTCCATAGCACTAGAGGGAAGCAAGATGTCACAAGATAGTCAGAGGCCCAGCATCTAGGGCACAGTTGCCCTTTGTGTCATTGACTTCATCCTAGATCTAATGCTGGAGGTTGTGAGGGAGATCAGGGAAATCCTTAAGCCACTCTCTGTTCAATGTTGTCTTCCTCCACCTTACCACTTGTTCTGGCTTCTCCCAGAAGAGCTGTCCTCTTTCTTCCTCAGTGCCCACATTTTTCTGGAAGGCTATATCACAGAGAATGCAGCAGATGACCACAATGAGCATAATAAAGGTTAATAAAGTGTCGAAGACTCTACCCTTTGTAAATTGGGCCATTGAATACAAAGGCAACAAAGTTGTGCGATACCTGTATGAAACATTGATTTAGCCTCAGCTGGAATGTCATTCTGGAGATTAACTTCATCAAGGATGTGAAAGCACTAGAGAGGGTACAGCAAAAGTTAACAAGACTGGCTCTGGGGCTGAAGAAGTTGGGAACACCACTACCTGCAATTTCCTCTCCACGCCACTCACCATCCTGACTTTGAAATATATAGCCATTCTTTTACTGTTGCTTGGTCAAAATCCTGGATATTCCTCCATAATGGCATTGATCCAACCTACAGCACATGGACTGCAGCAGTTTGAGAAAGCAGCTCACTACTACCTCCTCAAGGGCAACTAGGGACTGGTAATAAATGCTGGCCAGCCAGTAGCACTCATGGCCCATGAGAGAATTAAAAAGAAACTCAATTATGCAGACAAGAAAAGTTTGAGAGGAGATTTGTAGAGTTTCTCAAAATCATGAAGGACATATTTTCTAATCGAGTTGTTCAGAACTGTTATTCCACACCTCTGGAGTTGGAATTTGAGCCCATCTCTCCTGGCTTGTAGGTAGGGACATTGCCACATGCCATAAGAGCCTTGAGCCAAAGAAAATCATGAGGGAAAAGATATTTTCTAACCAACCTCTGCAGAGATATAGCACACACCTTTAGAGCAGATGGTCTTGATCCCAGACCTCCTGGCTCGGAAGTAGGGACACTACCACTGCATCACAAGATCCCTTAATATATTTTCTAATCAACCTGTTCAGAGATGCATTGACACAGTCCAGCAGGTGGGACTTGAATCCAGGCCTCCTGGTCCAGAGGTAGTTACACTATCACTGTGTCACAAGAGCCCTAAAAATCATGAGGGATCTGAATTGCAAAGATGTGGAGAACCTGTTCACATTGACAACAGATGTTTAGAGCCTCGAATGCAGTGCCTGAGATTGTGGTGAAGACATAATCAATCGTGGCCTTTCAAAAGAGAATATGATAATTATCTAGAGCAAGAAGGTCTACAAGATTATAGAGAAATTATAGGTAAGTGAGACTAGGTGAGTTGCTCTCGCAGAGAGCCAGCAAGACATGGCAGCCCAAATGGCTTCTTTGTGTTGTAATAATTCTATGATTCTATGTCCAAGATCATTGCAGGCGGGTACTGGTGGCTGCCATCTGGTAGTAATTGCATCTTCAAAAACCTGATGGCCTGCTCAATAGTTGTCCTACTGAACAGGTGTTGTTGGTTTTATCACCTCTGTCTGGGACTCAAATAGGAAGGGTTGGTAGCCATATCATCAAGGGACATTTCTTGTCGCCTACAATCCATCCATGAAATGAAGATCTGAAGCAAAGGATGACGGAGTTGTGGCAGCAACCAGGGAAGCAAGGGCATATTGGCAGGAATCTGTTGTGATCACAAACCATTCGAATGTTGAAAGAGTCGAAGCCCTTCCGCTAGATAAGTTTGATAGCCCCTTAGTGGCCATGTGTGTCCTTTCCCCTGGGCGGAGTCTAGTGCAGATGGCAAAACTCAGGCCCTTTCGTGACTGAGAGGCCATGCCTGTCATGAAGGGAATATATTGTCACAACCAGAAAAAGAGAGCATCTGTGATCTGCAAGATGTAGTGATATGCACTTTCTTGCAAAATCCCTTAAACATCTAAGGTTGAACCTAAGTAGAAGCCAGAAGTGATGCTTCACTGACTTAGATGACTTTTGGCAGGTCATGGCACCAGTGTAGCAAGATGTGAGCTCTTCATCAGTGCAGGCCACAGATGTTTGTAACTAACTACCTGCAGAGTCTCATTTCCTGTGGCACTGGGTTTTCAGTCAACCTCGGGGAACCCTATCTGCACTGGTAAATCCTACGTTAAACATATGGCCTCTTTTGTCTTTCAGCCTCTCTTCTTCTGCTGCTACTAGGATTTCCCATTTTCCTATAGATAGTGTTGTCCCTCTTTGTTACAATCTGTCATGCCTCCATTACTGGCTGTAACATTTATGTAATTGGCAGCCTTGCTCCTTGCTGTTTTGCCTTCGCAATGTTGGGGTGCTTAGTACCCACTCCCCTGCCAACTGATTTCTCCATACCCGGTGTCGAGACTCCCTTTGCCCCACTTATGGGGTCAGGGTGATCCTCAGAACAGCCTTGACTCACTTCCTACTCTATATTTGCCTCTCCTCAGCTGATCAGAAACAGCTAGCTCATGAAACCTTTGTGGTCCTTTGAATGTTCCCAGAATTCCCAAACAGCCCCTAATTGGGTTGTACCGACACAACATGGACAGCATCTGTTCAAGAAGGCAGTTTTCACCACTGACTTGTCAAGGGAAATTAGTGATGGGCAATAAATGTTGATCTTGCCAGCAGTGCCCATTTTCTATGAATCGAAAGGAAAAACCCACTTTCCCTTGCTTTTTCATTAGATGTTACAGATACAAATTTTACAATGTTATGTTTTTGAAATATCTCTTAATTTGGCATAGAATGGAGGAATAGTCATGTAACTTACTCTGAATTCTGTTCAACACAAGCTTGATTGGCTAAATTTTTCAGGGGGATCGATTGTCTTACTGAGAAGAGAGTGCAGGATGTTTACACTTACAGACAATAGCGAGAGCATCTGTGATAATTATCAGTAACCTACTAGTGTCCAAATTTCACAGGGAAATGTTCGAAATGTCATGTTGTATAGACAGCTAAGCTATAAACTTCATTTAATTCCAAGCAAGAATGGAGTTGGGTCTAGAGAATAGTTATTTAGCATTTTCATCTGGATATGAGACAATGTAATTCACATGGCAATGAGGATGGGTCTTAGAAATGAAAACTCAATTGAAAGCCATTGTATGGGTGTGGGGTGAGTCATTTAGGACCGAGGTGAGGAGAAGTTGTTTCAACCGGAGTGTGATGAGCCTGTGGAATTGTCTACCGCAAAAAGCGGTTGGGGCCAAAACATTGAATGTTTTCAAGAAGAATTGGATACAGGCTAAAGGGATCAAAGGGTAAGGGAAGAAAGTAGGAAAAGAGTACTGAGTTGGAGGATCAGACATGACCATATTAAATGGCAGAGCCGATGTGAAGGCCCAAATGGCCTATTCCCATTTTCCGTTTCTATGTAATATTGGATTCTCAATTTCTTAAACTGTCCATGAACCTTGCAGGTTAATTTGCAAGAATCTGAGAGACGTCAGAGGAATAGAGACAGCCAGTCCTGCCCCGAAACAATGTAAAAACTGTCTTTGATATTCACCATGCAAAAGACAGGTGAGAGCATACTCAAATTGAAAAGACCAGGAGAATTTAAACAAGGCCGCAAGATTCACTTAACTTTGGCTAGAGGGAGGATTCTCTAGGGTAACCTTCATCATGAAAGTCATTTGGAGATTAGAAGTTACCCAGCTAGAAAATGTAAAAGGAAGCAGGCCATCAGGATCAGAGAATAACTGGCCTGGTTCTGGGAGATTAAAGGGCCCACTTAAGGAATAGAGTATAACATAAGATGGGATTGTTGATCATGCTAAAAGTCAGATCGTGGTCTTTTCTGCAGTTTTGTAAAAGTTGTCTTCAAAAATAGTGTTAGTGTGCTCTTAATCTTTTTATTGCATCAAAGCCTTTAAATCTAAAATCTTGTGATTTTTTTATTTGTTCACTGGAATTCAGATATCAATTTTAAAAAACATTGGTAAATGTATTAATGTCACAAAGCCAAGCTGAGTAGGAGGAGTTGATACAGAGATCAACCGTAAGCTAATTGAATGACAGATGAAGCTCAGGAAACTGAATGGTCTTGCTTTTGTTCCTGTGTCACAATGTAATGTTTTCTTAAAATAATAAATGCGGTGAACACTATTTCACACTGAAGTATTCATCTGATCTTTTCTTCTTCACAAACTGCTTCCATGTCTCAAGGCTTTTAGCTAATTCTCCGGTAAAAATCAAATCATATAAATTGAAGGCAACAAACTGGATTAGGATCTTTCACAAGTTACACATTCTAATTTTTTTTTCTATTCATTTTGTGGGATGTGGGCATCACTGGCTGGCCAGCATTTCTTGCCCATCCCTAGTTGCCCTTGAGAAGGTGGTGAACTGCCTTCTTGAACCATTGCATTCCTTCTGCTGTGGATTGACCCACAATGCTATTAGGGACGGAATTCCAGGATTTTGACCCAGTGACAGTGAAGGAACAGCTGTTTATTTCTAAGTCAGGATGGTGAGTGACTTGGAAGGGAACTTGGAGGTGGTGGTGTTCCCATATATCTGCTGCCCTTGTCCTTCTAGATGGAAATGGTCTTGGGTTTGGAAGGTGCTGTCTGAGGATCTTTGGTGAATTTCTACAGTGCATCTTGTTGATCGTACACACTGCTGCTACTGAATGTTGGTGGTGGAGGAAATGAATGCTTGTGGACGTAGTGCTAATCAAACGGGCTGCTTTGTCCTGGATGGTGTCAAGCTTCTTGAGTGTTGTTGGGCTGCACTCATCCAGGCAAGTGGGGAGTATTCCATCACACTCCTGACTTGTGCCATGTAGATGGTGACAGGCTTTAAGGAGTCAGGAGGTGAGTTACTCGCTGCAGTATTCCTACCTTCTGGCCTTCTCTTGTAGCTACTGTGTTTATGTGATGAGTCCAGTTGAGTTTCTGGTCAATGGTAACCCCCAGGATGTTGATAGTTGAGGATTCAGTAATTGTAACACCGTTGAATGTCAATGGACAGTGGTTGGATTGTCTCTTATTGGTGATGGCCATAGCCTGGCATTTGTGCGGCGAGAATGTCACTTGCCACTTGTCAGCGACATTATATCGCAGTAATTTTCATTTTAGGTTGTTCATTATCTTTTTTACATTTATTTTCATTGTCAGTTCTCAATAATTGTTTTTTTTTTTAAACAGCGTGCTTAGAAAAAGTCCACCACACCTGATAAAAGAAATCATCTTGGTTGATGATTACAGTGACAACCGTAAGTAGGAATTGCTTTACTTCTCCATAGCTCAGATGGTCCCGTAAATAAATAAATAAATTTTACAATTGAATTTCCACTTCCAGCTGAAGATGGCACTTTGCTATCAAAGATTGAGAAGGTCCGAATTCTTCGAAATAACAGACGAGAAGGTCAGTCATGGGAAATACTTTGCTGTTTCTGTGTTTGAGTTTTCCTTTAAAAGAGACCTAACAATAATCTTTCTTAAACTGCATAGGCCTAATGCGTTCACGTGTCAGGGGAGCTGATGCAGCACAAGCAAACATCCTTACCTTTCTTGACAGCCATTGCGAATGCAATGAACACTGGCTAGAACCCCTCCTGGAGAGGGTGGTTGAGGTAAGAAAATAAATTTGGAACAGAACATATTAGTGCTAATTATGTGTTAACTCAGATCATTTATTTGAATTTGCAGTTCAGTTGAATTGGTGTATATGGAGTGTTGAGAATTGTTTAATAAGACACAAATCTTATAAAGTTTCAGGTGTCTGTTAGGAGAGAAATATAGCAATAATAAAAGAAAACTTTATGATGGTTAGGATGTTTGGATAGGAGAATGGTTGTAACATTGTAAACGTTTCAGGCAAGTGACGAAGTAAGTCTTCTAGTCCAGTGAATCCCAAACCCTTTCAGCTTGCATTACACTTTCAATGTATCAAGCTTTTCATGGCACACCAAATTTTTAAAAAATAATCAGCACTATCATTGCAAGGAATGACATTTATTTCTAACTGAAATGTAATTAGACTACAATATTAATGAGAAATATTTCACTTATTTTGACTAGAATTTCATTGTGAAATGTGAGATTGCTTGCAATGAATGTAACTGTTTAATATCTGGTTTAATGGTGGAAAGACATACACAAAGCTCCTGAACCACACTTGTGTAAACACTATTTCTTCTGGTCTTTGAAATGTGGCAATGAAGAGGAACTAAATTCATAAAGTAGCTAGTTGAAAATGGCAGCAGAACAATTATTACTTGATTTGATATCAAGGGATATTCATTTCTCATTTGTAGCCAAAATTAATCCAGTGGAATCTCTTTGAATTTCAGTTCAAGGTTGCAGTCACTCCTGAGATCCAGGAATTCTTCTTTATTCTTCAAAGAGAAACTCGTAGTTAATTTTTCTGAACATACTCCAAATGGATTTTCATAAATAAAATCAAGTTGCTCTGTCCCAGATGATCTAAAATAATGCCTGAGCTTATCTGGGAGCAAGTTTAAATGTTTCTTTACAAGTGAAAGAAGTCTTTCATCTTGGTTTGCATAGAAGCTCGTTTGAACATTTGAAGTGAACAATGATTTATTCTGCAAGGAACCTTTTCTCTCCACACTTGAAGTTTTGATTTCATCCCATTTAGCTTGTCTGTGCATGTCAGTATGTCCTCATCGTATCCTTCCAATCTTTGATTCAACTCATTCAGGTGCTGAAATACATCAGACAAGGAAGCCAGCTTTTCCAGCCAGTATTTTGTTTTGCAACAGATTAGCATACTGGGACTCATTGTTCATGAATTGTTTCAATTCACCCATCAGTTCATAAATTCTTGACAGAACTTTACCCCTTGAGAGCTAGCGAACTTCAGTATGAAGGAGAAAAGATCAATAGTCTGCTCCTGTTTCTTCATATTGAATAGAAAAAGACATGACTGAAGTGGTCTGGATTTGATGAAGTTGAGAATTTTCACAGCCTCATTTAGGGCGAATTTTAGGTCAGCTGGCAAGCTACATAATAATGTGAAGAAAGCAATGAGTAATTTGATCAGAGGTTTTCACATTGTACTTTGGACACAAAGCCTTTTACATTCCTTGCCTTATAGGTGCAACATCATTGCATGCACTTATGCATTTCTGCCATGGAATTCCATTTAGTTTCAAATACCCATTGGTCATTCTGAATATTTCTCCCCTGTTGTTTGCTGTAGACAGTCATTGCAAAATAAATAATGCTGTTTCGAAACAGTTTTCCTTATCGAACTGAACAACTGCAGGCAGCTGTGCACAACCTTCAGTGTCGGTAGGTTCATTCATCTGCAGGGAAAGCTTTCCTGACCCTTGAATTTTCTGGATAACTGTTGCTTCTATCACCTGTGAAATGGCTTCTGTGTGTCTGCTGTTAGTGTTTTTAGAAAGTGGAACTCTTACCATCTCTTTTGCTGCAATGCCTATCAGAGTGCAAACAATTTTCTGACAAGCTGATAGAACGGGAGTTCCAGCAGTTGTATGAGGCTTCTTGGTTTTGGCAATCAGTCTGGCAACATTGTAGCTGGCCTCTTGTTCACAATCCAGTGCTTTTGTTGATGTTCTCATGAGAGCATTGTTTTGCATTCTGCTCTTGCAACCGTCTGAAGTAACTGGAGAGATGTCATTTTAGTTTACTTGTAACCATGGCTTTTTTTGACAATTTGTGTCAGCAAATTAGACATTGAGATTCAGGAGCAGCAGGATCACCACACCAGATAAATCCAAATGCTGGGTAATGATGGTGGTGCTAGCTGTTCATCTTGTTTGCTGACTTATTACTGCTGTTCTGCAAATCAACCAGCCAATTGATTGGGCTTGTCTTTTCAAAAATTTGTTACGTTTATGCATTAATTTCTGCATCCAAATCTGGTAAACAGAATGGAACCTTATGGACTGCTGTCTGTACATAATACACAAAATGAGCATAATTATTTAAAGCAGAGCAGTCCAAACTACAACCCAGCAACATTCTTCACAGTCACAATCAACAGCTTAGCAGAGTTTTACAAGTGTCTGGATGACACAAAAATAATGCAGAGCGTGTTTGATTCGTCTGTGAGCAGACCTTTTCTGCATTGACTTTAAATAAGAATCACCTGAGATTGAGTAAAAACCGAAAGAATTGCGGATGCTGTAAATCAGGAACAAAAACAAAGTTGCTGGAAAAGCTCAGCAGGTCTGGCAGCATCTGTGAAGGAAGAAAGTTTCTTTGAAAGATATATCTGTGAAGGAAGAAAGTTTCTTCCTTCACAGATGTTGCCAGACCTGCTGAGCTTTTCCAGCAACATTTTGTCACCTGAGATTGAGCTTAACTGATGCTCACCTCAGTAACATTTTGCAACCCGCAACTACAAATCTCAAACCTAATATTGCCCAGATTTCAAAGTCTGAGTCTCAGCTGCACATCTCACATTAAGTATTGCATCCAACATTCTGTGGTGAGTAAATGTTCATGGTTTTCACAAGTTGTTTGTTAACACAGTTATGTCATGTACAGTGTGTTTTTATAGTCTGCAATTCTGCTTAATACCGTAAGGTTAAGTTGTGTGTATATTTGTGGGCAGTTGTTTATTGGCTGTCGGTCAATGTGGCCCTTGCTGCAAGAATTTGAGACTCCCCTAATTTAAATTGTAGCCGTTGTTTTGCATGTTATTAAAAGACCTTCCTTTTTGAGGAAATAATGAACTTCTGATCTTCACTGCAAAAATTAACTTTACAAGCCATGCCAACATCAACGACATAGACCAAAGGCTTTTGTTAAACCAAAGAACTGCCAGAGTGGCAAGCTGTCAATGAAAACCAAAATTTCATGGGATCTCCCAGAAACTGGTGGGGCAATGTAATCAAGTCCGTATGGCAGGTATAGTGAATCCTCTTGTGACGAAGAAAGGCAGAAATTATTGTTATACTGTATATCAAGGAGAAAATAAATCAAAATTGAAATTTAAGATCAAGCTGATAAACTTACATTACTAAACAAAAATTACTTAATAATTTCAAAATGTTTTGCGGCCTCCTGAGACCCTTTGCAACACGCAGTTTAGGAAGCACTGTTCTAGCACTCTGATTTGCAGTATTACTTTGATGCTTTTCTCATAATTCTAAGCCTCATTTTTGACAAAAATCTATCTTTCTTTCTTGAAACTTGATGAGGATTCTTGCTCCACCAGTTGTCCCAATATCCGTTCACTCATTAATAAAACCCCTCCTGTGTTTTTTGTTTTATTTCTGATATCCTTAGTTTGCAAATATGACCCCTTATACTTAACCTTCCTGCCATTTCCAATTTTACCTAACCATTGAGATGCAGATCTGCTACAACCGCATAATCCTGTTTTTAAGAGGAAAACTGTGGGATAGCCAACCTTTGCACATTCATTCCCTTACTTCTGGGATTAACCTTGTTCCCCTTCTTTGTGACTACAGGTTAGTTAACCGTCCTTTCCATTAACTACATAGATGGCTTGGACCTGAACATAGAGAACATTATATCAGTAGATGCTGAAAAAATTGGGGATTTAATAACAAATTGCAGACAGATTGACAGCAATTTGGGTAGATAGGTGAAAGGTGCAATATAATAGAATGAACTGCAATCCATGTGGCAATGTCTCCATTTTCAAATTTGTGTCTCAAATTACAAAACCCTTCTTGAGGACAGACAAAC